GTCATATTGCTCAACGAAGATGCATCGTTCTCCCAGCTAGGAAATTTATATCCAATCAAAATGAAGAAAAATTTCATTGGAGATAATTTACTTATTTTTTCACTTGGTATAAAACGTTTCTCGGTCAGTTTTTCGTTAGGGCCGATCATTTCTTGTCAGACCATGCGATTCACAAAGACTGAAATATAAGATGACCAAGAAATCATAGTTTAGTTCAACTCGAGTTCAATGCACCACTTTTATAGACAGAAAAATAAACGATGATATGTTATGCATTTTTCAACAGATTGTAGCCATTTGAATTACAGCATATGAGGAACATTTCACTAGAATAAACTATCGAGGTGACAGGTGCCTGACAATAAGGTCGAGTGACAGTTGTTATAAATGCATTAATAATCTTTTCTTGAGTTCAAATTATCATGAAAATTATATTAGATTTTCATTAGGGTGAAATAAGGTTCACACGCATCAGACGAGATTTGACGAGTCTGAAATCTGCTGATATTGTTTGTTTTAAAATGTGCATGTTTTATTTCACATGGTAAATGTCAAGGGTCAGGATGAGTTCTAATCGTTTATTGCATGAAAATATACTGAAATAGTTTGGCGAAGAGCTGTCAGTTTGAGAATCAGACTTTTGTTTATTCTTTTTTAGAGGATGTGTGACAGCAATGATTTCGGAAACAATCTGAGTGCAGTTGTAACTCACTGATTATTCAATATTGACTTAAGGCATTGAGTCTCCTTGAACCTTGTCCCATAAAGTACAAAGTAAATATATCAGTAAATTGTAACATATTCGCATAATTTATTCGAAAATTTGTGGCTACAAACTGCCCACCTGTAATCTCTCAGCACGGAGGCAGTAAGAACATGTTCCACGAAAAGTCAAAAGTGACCGTCGAACAATGACCTTGAGATGTGCGGCTCGTCGAGTATTCGGTATTGTCATCAGGCCCAAACCGGATGAAAAATCCAGGAGTTTTCGATACAAAAGAGCTGAAGAGAGGGAACGCATAGAAATGAAATTCATGGGGGACATTTTTCTCGCTTGCGTTTGGCTCATCAAGAGATGAGATTATTTGTTTGATACTGCAGCCCAGGCTAGCACATGAGAGTACCACCGTTGATTGCTCTCTTTGGTGAAAACTAAGTATTTGGTGATGAGTACGGAATCTACTACTGAGGTTTCCAAAGGACAATCAGGCCGGTAAAGACTGAAAACGCACTCGAAACATTTCGAAGTATCTACCTAGAGACCGGATTGGTTCGAGAATGATTTTATTTGTAATAAACTGTCAAACAATACTTCCATGTCAGGTTAATTTGCTATGGTTTCACACAAAATCACATCATCTACATATTTAAAGGTTTTGGCTGGCGGGATGGTGGCTAATTCATTGATGAATGCTGAAAATAAGTAGGGAGAAATTACAGTACCCAGAAGAACTCCAGAATTATTCACTAACGGGTTTGAAGTAGTGCCGTTTGCTTTCGTTCTTTGAATTCTTCCTGTGAAAAGGCTTTTAATAACAAAAATATAGTGTTGCAGCAACCGAACGACTGTAACGTTTTGAGAAGAAAAAATCGTGGATCGAAATCAAAGGTGGAAGAGCAATCAAAGAAAACACAACGAACGGACTTTGAGAATCATCTAAAGATTTGCCAATAAAAGGCGTCCAAATTACATCTATTTGGCTTTTGCGCAAACTGAAGAGGGTTACTGAAAACAATAATGCCAGACCGCAAGCGGTCTACTAACTTTAGTACAGAGGAATCGATGGTACTGTCAGGAGACCGTTTAGATGAAATGCTAGATGAAGATGATTTAGGAATGGGAGTCATTGTGAACAGTCTCCATAAATCAGGGTTTGAAAACATGTGTATATGGATTTATTGATAAGAGACGCAAATATCTGTATGAGTGAACTAGTGCCATCTTTAAGCATAGACAAAGATAGACCATCGAGGCCAACTGCATTCGTGACTTTTGCAGTTTTAAGAAGATGATACAAGTCTTCATAATTGACAGGGTCTAATGAGGTAGGCACTCTTTGAGTTATGGATGAATGAAGGATAAAAGACTGTCTAAGTGAACAGTTTTGTTTGGTGACCGTTTTTTTTCTGTCCGCACAGCAATCCGATCGCTTGCCATAGTCGTCTTCCATCTCCAGCTCCCAAAACTTGCTTTGCCAATGAAGCACTCAGTCTTTTGATCTCTCTCCTGCCTTGTAGCATAAGCTGTTGGACAATGGCTGTTTGATGCATCTTGAACGATGGTTCTTTTTGTCTTCTACGAGATTTTAGCCGCGGAGAGCAAACTCTACCAATATGAACAAAAATGGTTTCTATAGGGCAGCATAAATCGAAAATTACATGAGCTAGGCCAGCACACTATTCAACAGAATAGAGAGATTGTTGAACGGACAACCGCGACGAGATGATTGCAGCAGATGGTCTTCCAAGGAGTCTATCGGCTGAGAAATTCCGGATTTTTATGTTCATTCATTCTTTTCGTCTGAATGCAAGCGGAGTATTCCAACAGTCAGTTGGTCTAAGACAAAGGAGACAGTTGTCGCAAGTGAAGATTTAAGCCTTCAGTTTGAGAGAAAAAATATTAAGAGGACTAGTAATAACCTTCTGCAATACAACATATCCTTTGATGATTGTTTGAAAAAAAATCTGTTAGGTCGAAAGAAAGTAAATTTTGGATTGATTCATGATTAAACTTACCAGCAAATTAAATTAAGTTATTATGAACTAGGGGAGCAATGAAGGTATCGTAAAAAGAGTTGCTTTCAAGTTATGTGAAAAAGGGACAATTTTGAGAGAGAGAGAGAGAGAGCGAGAGATTGGCCAAAATTGTGCACTGAAAAGGGGCGAACCCAGGTCGACCGCAAACAGTGTAGAAGTCAATACCATTACGGAAAAAGGCAAATAAAGTTTCGGACTTGCCGCACCAACCGCAGTTAATGTAGGTTAGTGTTCCTCCTCCGGTCTAACTTTTGTCTCTTTCTCTGTCTTGTGGAGAACTAGCATAAATCAGGTGTGTTTTGATCAGCAAGTGTTCCATGTTTTGGTTAAACCATAGATTCGCGTATGCACACCACACACGCATTTGTGTGCACGCGGTAAGTTAGTAGATCAGTGAGTGAAATTAGTCAATATAGTTGAAGGGGGGAGGTGCACCAATGACCTAGCCGAGATGAGAATCAGGTAAATAAACTTAGCATACTTACTGTACTTTAGTTGTTGCGTTAAAAAAAACAAATTCATCGAAAAACAGCCTGTTTCGCCTACCGATGAAGGAACCACCATCTTTCCAAGAGGAATGTGTACAAGAGCTGTCTGCCACCCGGTACGCTTCTGTTTCTTGCACCAACCAAAAAATCCAGTTCAAGTAGAAATATGTGAGTTGGACGACATAGTAGTTTTGATTATCCTATAATCGTAGTAATAATTTCGTGGGATACGAGCATCACGAGAATACAGTGAAAATCAAGAAATAAATTCCAATGCAAGAGTGAACAGTATATGTATTGCAATAATACGTTCTTATCCAGGAATGGCATCAGATCACGCACGATTGTATAGCGAGAGAGACATTTCCAGACAATTTGAAATGGTTTAGATTGAAAGCAAATGTGAAGGAACGGAAACAAGTAATATCTTAGGAGGAAATGAAACGATTTAAGTTGCAGTTAGACGCTATTGAAGGAATTACTCTCTCTCTTTCTCGTATGCTCTCATAGGTCGAGTATGTACAAAATCATTCAAACACGACTAAACCAGAATGGAGGAACGATCGTAAATGCAACTGGAACACTGAGTGTAGTTTTTGTAGGACAGATCGATCCACTCGACCTGAGTACGAGCCTATCTGTTGGGTATGACCAATGTCAAAATGTCAAATTAGTAATCCCGCAACAAAGTCCCACCGGTTCACGTCAACTGCCAACTCATGGAATACCGATGCAGGAGCAACCTGT